AAATTTTTGAGCTCATGTCATGTTGTAGAAATGTGATGTTTTTCTCTTAAGGAATTCAAGTGTAGACTATACAATGTTCAGTTTTACTTAGTAAATTAAAAAAAAATTTCCTCTGTGATTTTTTCATAGTAATAAAGCATCCACATTTTGAAAACATGACTAGTTTTAAATTTTTAACTTTTAAGAAACACTTCCATAAACACACTTCCTGAGGTAGCATACTTTTTATTCATTCCTTAGTTTTATTCAGTGGCAAGCAGATGGCTAATTAATAAAACCTAGTTTTAACTAAGATGTAATTTTATTTTTTATAAATTATTCTAAAAAATTGCATTTACCTGTTTTAGTGTGACTTTTATATATCTCTTTTTAAAACAAAAACATTCATGTATTTTTGGCAAAGCCTTTGGTTTCTACCTTCCCTAGACCTTTTTCCCCCCCTGACAGTGTTCATTAAGGGTCTCTAGTGTGAGGGGAAAAACAACGTATCTTTGGGGAAAAGATGCTACAGGAGGGTTGAAACCAGAATCTCGTCCAAGCAATTATAAATACAGCAGAAAAAAATATTTTCATTATGCAAGGGAATGGGGGGTTGGGCAAGGCTGGCTAGCTTTTACCAGCATGCAGTCTTATGGGAAAGAGAGTCAAATCTGAAAATTCCTTCCCTTAATGTGATTTTAGATTCAAAATGCTAAAATGTACTGACTCTAAATTATTATGAAACAATATAATAATTTAAATGATTATTATATATATAAAAATAATGTTTACAGTTTCCAATTTTCAAATGGGAAGATTGATGATAATAGTTCATCTGTGGTGAATGTTGTTTTTGAACATACAACATCACATAACCTGAACTTGTAACTTGAATAGAGGGAATTCCAGCAAGTAGTTATTATACAATGAACTTGCTTCATTCCTAAGGTTATCTGAGTTACATTTTACAATCAAATGGCTCCTCCTCAGTGTCCTTTATGAAGGGTTTTCCTAAATAACTGCCTGAAGCAGTATGTGCTCAGTATGGAGGTAATTTATGGTTATTAAGAAGCAGTAGTAGGATTACTAAAGGCTTCTATAGTAGTAAAATTCTTAGTGCTAAACTTACTGAGACTCACTGTGTTATTGGGAGTCCATGTTAGAACCTCCACTGGAGATTCTGAAATGTTGGCTTCTCCAAGTTCACATCTCATGATTTGGGTTTGTGTTTGTTGTTGTATGTTCTTACTTCAGGAATCCTCCAGGGATTTTAACCATGGTTTTGAAACATTAGTGTTACTCACATACAGGCAACAACCTCTTCTATAAAGTATATCCAGAGTTTGAACGATAGTGTAATATAATTAAGTTTGGGCTTGGCAAAGCTCCCAGCTTGCTTTGCATTGTCCTGTGGATACCTACATTTGGGGACAGTCTTGGGAATATGTATACTCTGAGAGATCTGTAGGTAGAAATTGCCCTGAAGAATCAGGCTTCAGGGGTGCCTTGTTACTCTGCGCTGCCCCCTTGTGGCTGGATGTGAAATGCTCTATTTCAAAGTTTAAAATTAAGAGTTCCAACTTGCATTGGGCATGCTTGTTTACATAGAGCATTAATAATTTTCTTCTGTGTAAAAAAAAAAACTATCAAGTTAATATAATAGTTCTCACTCAGGGTGTGAATAATTTATTGTGCTTATTTGGTATTTTTTAATTTGCAGAATTTAAAAAATATGTATTGGTGTGTTAATGGTTTTTAACTTTTTATTATGGAAAATTCCAAATACACTCCAAAGTAAAAGGAAGAGTACAATGCACCACCTTGTACTTATCACTTAGCTTGTTGATCTTGTTTCATCTACATGGGCTGTTTTTTTTCAGGAGTATTTTAAAGCAAATTCCAGGCATCATATCATCCTGAATATGTTTTTGTCAAACTTAAGAAACTGTGTATTTCTACTAAGTCATTTACTTTAAGTGTGCCATTCCCAAATAAACCTTTTTTCTTTATATATTTTTAAAGAATAAACTTTTTCTTTACAAATAAAAAAAACTTTTTAAAAATAAAAATTTTTAAAAATTCAGTGTGCCATGCATTTAGCCAGAATCCTTCAGTAAAATAAAAGAATTGTCAGCATTTCCATTGTCCTTGGAAGGAGGTGACTGGTGTCCTTAGCTTCATAAGAGTCGGGATTAAAACCTAAAATTCCCAGCTGGGGGAGGAACCAATAAGAAAGGCTATTAGAAACATTTTATATTGCTTGCCCTTTACATTCTAAAAAGTCTATTTTTCTTTCCAGATGTTTATTAACAAGGCAATAATGTATTCTAAAGAAATGTTTGGTTGAAACATTTCCTCCCAGAATTTGACTGTATTTTACTTACTAAATGCAGTTGGGAGCATTTTAAATTTTTCTTTCCTTTCTCTAGAAAAGATTATAGTTGTCATACCATCAGGATTAGAAACTCTCTTTAATTTAATAGAAGCATGTAAAATTCTGAGAGGGAAAGCTAGAACTTTTTAAAATGTGGACTTTAGAAAACAACCCCAAACCTTAAAAGTTGTTGTTAGAGGTTGACCTCCTGGCAGAATTTCGGTTTATCTGGAGGCTTCAAGACGCTGTCAAGAAAGCCAGGAGGATTGTTCCTGTGGGTCTTCGTGCAGTGCAGGGTCTGATCTGGAACAAACAGCAGCAGCGACAGCCCAGTGCACAGCAGGGGAGAGCCCGGAGGAGGCACCGAGAACAGTGGTATCGGGTTACAGGTTCAGAATATCGCAGGGGCGCTGGTAACTGGCTTGATCTAGTGACTGGCTTTATAATTACATTGCTGATTTGTTAGGGGAGGCTTTGTCTTACTTACCAATTAGCATGGATGTTACTGCTGGGACCTCAGAAATCCTGGATGAGCTTTGGTTTAAAAAAAAAAAAAAAGCTTCCCAATCCAAGCAGCTTTAGGGGTTCTGTTAGGAACGTTCTTCCTTGTCTTCTGGGAGTCCTTTCCCTGTCTGTAAATAAACCATGGGGAGGCTCTCTGCCCGATGGAATTTTGCCCCTGTTCCTGCCACTCCCCTGGGCTAGAGGCAGTTGCTTTGGGGTCTGAGGTCTACCTCTGCTGTGCAGATACCCGCCACCTCCCTCCCCGCACCCCGCTGGAGGGGGATGGTCACTCCTCCCGTGCCAGCTGCAGGCCAGGACACACGGCTGGCTGAGGGCTCCCTGTTTCTTTGAGCTTCTCTTTCTGACCCTGTCAGCACCCCCAACTACCTGTCCTTCTCGGGGCAGCCTTTTTGTTTTCGCTGTTGTTGTTGCTTAGGGGAGAAGGGTGTTAAAAGCAGAGGCATTGTCAGATTTCCTTAGTCCAGTGTGTTTTTAAGGTGTAGTATTAAGCATAGAAAGTTGTCTAAGCAGAGGTGGCCCCTTTGTGGCAGTAGGATGGGGCTTCCCCTCCCTGCTCAGGAGTTGCCCTGTCTGCGCGTGACAGCAGCCTGGAGGGACGGCTCCGGAAGGTCTCTGCTGCTGGGCCCCCGGCTGGTGGGTGGTGTCCTTTTGTCTTGAACACAGGCTCTCCATTTGGACCACCTCAAAAAGCAGGATCCAAAACACATCTTAAGGCAAGTGTATGGAGTGAAGCGAGGAGAAAGGAGAATATTCTGTGTTTCAGAATTTGTCTCAGAACAATTTCTGGCCCAACTTTGAGCCAGACTCTTTTCAGCTCAGAAGTCTGTCACACACACAGTTAGTTTTGCCAGGGGCACTCCTTTCTTCTTCCACTGCCCCCAAAAGAAACTGAAAGGAGGGTGTGTTTCCACTTACAGGCTGTGGGTTTTAGCAGCCCAAGATGTCAAAGGGAGGGAATAGCCTCTGCTGGCTTTCTCCTGAGACGCTCACCGCATGCCTTCTCTTTGCTTCTTTTTTCTTCTAAAGAGGACGGACACATCGCTGCTCTGAACTGTTGGCATTAATGCAAAGGCCTCGTTTTTGTGTGGGTTTTAGAGTGAGCACTGGACTCTTTAGCAACCAGTGTTCACACCGGTAGTCGTGCAGGGGTGAGAAATCTGCAGCCTCAAGGCCACATGTGGCCGTCCAGATCCCCAAGTGCAGCCCCTCAACCAGATCGAAACTTAACAGGACAAATCCCTTTATTGAAAGGATTCATTAGGTAAAATTTGTATTTAATCAAAAGGCTGCACTCAAGGATCCAGAAGGCTACAGGTTCCCCATCCCTGCCAGGGATACAGCTTCTTAAAGCTCCTTTTTGAATTAGGAGCATTTTTCTTGGGAGCTTTTAACTAATGTTTTAATAATGTTTTTCTTGAAGTATAGCATGCATATGGAGATGTGCAAGATCCTAAGTGCACAGGCCAGTGACTTACCACAAAGCAAACTCCTGGGTGTATTCTCTACCCGGGTGAGGAAATATTAATAGAACATGACCAGCTCTCCAAAAGCCTCTTGCTCCACTAGCAACTACCCTAACTCAACTGCAGACACCATAGTTTAGCTTTGCCTTGTTAACTGAGTTTTAAAACAACATGTCCCTTAATTGTAAAGCCTGTTACACTCCTGAAAAGGGAAATCACAGAATTTCTAGTTATTTACTAGTTCAAAAGGAAGTTGGATCAAGCTCTTGAAAATGGGCCTTGAGGTGTTTGTCTTTTGAAAAAACTCCTGGTGACATTTGTTATCTTTATATATATATATATATATATATATTTTTTTTTTTCTTTCTTTCTTTGAGACAAGAGTCTCTCTCTGTTGCCCGGACTAGAGTGCCATGGCGTCAGCCTAGCTCACAGCAACCTCAAACTCCTGGGCTCAAGCAGTCTTCCTGCCTCAGCCTCCCAAGTAGCTGGGACTACAGGCATGATCCACCATGCCTGGCTAATTTTTTCTATATATTTTTAGTTGGCCAATTAATTTCTTTTTAGTAGAGACGGAGTCTTGGTCTTGCTCAGGCTGGTTTCGAACTCCTGACCTTGAGCAATCCTCCTGCTTTGGCCTCCCAGAGTGCTAGGATTACAGGCGTGAATAAAATTTCTATTTTTTAAATGAGACAGGGTCTCCAATTCTGGGCCTCAAGGGGTCATGCCTCCCAAGGAGCTGGTATTGCAGGCACACAACAAGCACCCAGCCAGCATTTGTTACTTTTGAGCATCTGCCCTAACAGATTATATTAAATAGCTTTTGAGGTTAGGGTCCTTCCTAATGAAAAGCTGTACAATTGGAAGCTGGGTTTGGGGTATAGAGTTTTATTCAGTATTAAACTCCCTGAAAAACTCCAGAAGAGAAGTTTTCATTTATATAGCTACCAATGAGTTTCGTTCTTTATTTTTGAAACTTAGTTTGCTGCAGTTAATAGTTGCTGAAATTTATTTTAAGAAAACCAGAATGCTAGGAATTTGTTTCTCAGAAGTTTATTAGGGACGCAGGGTGTCTTATTTCAAACCTTCTATTAGGAGCCAGTGAATTTGAATAGAAAAGTGGCCTTGATTAGTTTGAGGCCCCTTAGGGTGGGCAGAAGAGGGAGGGAGCAGCCTCTCCATTCCTCATGTGGGGGTCTCCCACCCCTGAAGCTCAGGGTCCCTTTGGGTCTTTGTCTGAAAAATTGGGTAGAAGGCATAGGCTTGGATCTTCACAAGTCTAGGAAGGCGATACAGTGGGGTGTCAGAGCCCAGGGGTGCCTACAGGTGGCCTCAGAATTAAGGGAGTCACAAGGACCACCTTTCAGTGAGCTCCAGGCCACCCCTGGGCAGGGACCTTGGAACCCCCCTTTCCTGGAGTTACCTAGAAGCGTTTAATGAGCTCCTGCAACTGCTTCATCTTCTAGTTGCTGCTTGGTGAGGCCTTTTGAAAGGTCACGTGCCTCCCCTATGGCTGCTTAAAGAGCTATTGTTACTCTCTTAGAGTGCCTGAGGAAATAGAGGCTTCTGAGGAGCTGGGCTGACCCTGGCCTTGGGCAGCCTGCGCCAAGCCCTGAAAGGCAGGGAGGGGCCAAGGCATCTGGCTTCTTGCCCTCAGGTTCTTGAGGGCATGTTCTTGTGGGCATGTCTCCTCTTTTCTTCTTTAAACCCTGCCCTGCTTAAGGAGGTAGAGGTTACACAAAGCCCTGAGAGTGAGAGTTCTCACAGCTAGGAGCTGGAGGCCTCTTCTGATCATGCTCGTATTGTTACTGCCACTGCCGTGTGTTAAGCAAACTGGGAAAACTTTTAAGTGAAAATGCGAAATCAATTTTATTATGTTTCACTTTATTCCTTTCTATAACAATTTAGATAGAATGAGGGTTAAAAATCAGGATTGTGTACGTTTTTCAATCTTACTGGGTGTGTGGATTCGGTTTTGCTTCATAATATGAAATAGTGAAACCAAGGCAAACCTGCTTTAAGCCATACTCCATCGGGGGTCCTTATTCACACATTTGAAGTACATCCAAGATTTGATTTGTGTGTCTTTTCCTGTTCTTGGAGTTTGCTTACACTAGCCCTCCACCCTCCCCTTCCAGGCAGCATTACTGATGTCTTATCACACTTTCCCTAAATCGTTAGGATTAGCACACAGCTACCACCAGCTGGATCTTTCTAATTGGAAATTAGGTGCTTCTCACATCGATACCTGTCTCAAAGTATCTCCACCGATCTCTTTCAGCCATGGGAATTCTGCTAAATGCCTATAGTATTGCATGGCCTGTGTGCTTTTTAAATGTGTGAGTTCTGTAGATTCAGTGATTATTTCTAGAAAAATGTGTTATTGAAAAAGTGTTGTTTTATTCTGGTAACAAGTCTTAAAAAGACAGTTCTACATTGATAACTAAAAGAAAAGTCTACATCGTCTTGCCTAAATGTTACCTCTCTTCCAGAAAACCAATAAAAATTCAAAGTGGCAATGAGCTTACTAATTTGTTTTTAGTTGGATTTTCGTTGACATTTTGGGACAAGCTTCTGAAGCTTTCTGTGATGAGGGGCCATCTTGTTTTTGCTCCCTCCCCCAGACCTTCCTGGGCTTTAGAGAAACACAATAAAAATAATTACTGAAAAAGTAAAATTAAAATACAAAGATATAGAAAATAGAAGGTTCATTTTAAAAATTAAACTTACAGTTACTTTGTAAATTTGCAAAAGTTTCTAAATAATACAATATATCTACTTAGCTCATCTTGGACCAGTAACAGTTCACATACTGGCACCATCTGTGGGGCACACTTTTAGAAACACTGTTGTAGAGTGTGCATATGTGTAGTTGTGTACTCACATGCTTGTGTAAATGTGCTGTAATCACATAACATAGATCATATAACAACTTTATATGAAAATTAAATGCACTTAGTAAGCTCTTTAGCAAAAGTGAAGTTTTTCTGTAAGTATCTAAATGCTCAAATTTGTAAACAAATATAAATAGTATAATTGTGACTATAATTATGTGTTTCAAAATCCAGTTGTCGGTAACCCTTCTGATGCATGAACTAGTAAGTGTTTTGCAATGTGAAATGAAACCACCTCCCCCACTGATTCACTCCAAAGTTTAAATGGGCACAAATACTTTAGAAAGGAAATATTCGATGCAAAGTAGATACATAAATGAGACTTTTAGCACTAAACAGTAGGAAATATGCTTGTCACCTGAAGTATTAGGTAAGTCACTTGTTACTATCATGCTTTCCTTGCCTGGGAGAACAGTTAATTACAGGCATGGTCTTTGGACCTAGTGATTGACAGCCATTCTCGTAATGTTTACAAAATGAGAGGAAATGTTTCATGCAAGTAACTCCACATTCTTTGTGAGTATTAACAAATCTCAAGCTGATTCTGATGTTGATAGGTTGCAGCCTTCTTTATCCATCTCTTCTGAGACTGAGGCAGTGAAGTCAGTCACCCTAAGTAGGACTGTGTGCCAGGCTCTGTGGCCACCTGTCCATCTGTCTTGAGGGGCAGCATGGACTCCTTTATAACAAAGTATTGGAAGAACGTTGTGTGAAGTTTATATTCCGTTTAGCCTTGTTCCTTTGATGGGAATTGAAATTCAAAGTGGTGATGAGGTGTAGGAAGAGATGTTTAGCCTGTGAAGACCAGACTGCACTCACGCGTGACTCCCCACTGTGAGTGGAAGCGTGCCTGAGGAGCGTAGATGTGGAGTATGTTAAAGGGTTGCATGAGGCGTGATCAGTCAGCTGAAGCAATTTAGTAAAAGGTAAGTAGCATTTAGAAGGAAACTTGGGTAACTACATAGCAATTGCCCATATATGAAGATTTCAGAAAGAGTGAGCCACACTGAGAGTAGGATTAACGTGCGTGTGAGTGTCATAGAGCAAGCATGGGCCTGGCTTAATTAGAACCATGTATCCTGATCTGAACAACACAGGACAATTTCTTGATTAAATGGTTAGAAAGCGAGGTCTGTGAGGCAAAGGCTAATGGACTTGAGATTGTTTTGTTTAGACAGTAGAAGTTCTGAAAGTGAGTGATGACAATGTAACATGACCTTGGAGAGTTGGAAGGACCACGCTCCAGAAGGTGACAACCAGCTGAAGATCAGTTCACTAAGGCCAGAGCAAGAGAGGACACAGCCTGGGCGGTGAACAGCAGCAAGATGGGGCAGTTCTTCACTGCAGTTTTAAAATTCAACCTGTTACCAAGTTCCCAAGGTCTGAGACCTGAGGTCCTTGTTTCTTTAGAATACAGATGTAACTCTGGAATCACAGTAGATATTTTGTTATGAAATCTCAAGTATCCAAACAGCAATGCTTATATTCAGAGCAAATTACTTTAAAACTAATCCAGTTGCATTCAGACATAACTGTGTGATGAATTGAACCAAGGAAAAACTTAGGCTGGGAAATACACATTCTTCCACTGGATTCTAGAATGAAAAGCAGTGGCAGCTCAGTCACTGTGGTCATTTAACACAGGCCAAGTGCTTCGCCACATGTCACCAAACAGGCAGAAAGACTCCATGCATAATGAGGAAGGAAAAAGCGTTTTGAAAGCACACCCAGTTCTACCAAAATTATACATGTTCCCCCTTCTTTAACTTGGTTGTTTTAATCCTTCAAGATGTGTTCAAGCTATAATTCATGACACCTGTGTCTGTTTAGGTCATAGCGTTGTAAGTGTTTTCTTGGGTTTTAAAAATAAATCCATTTGGGGGAGAGAAATTGAACCTGCATGTGAACGCAAGCACATGAGCTGAGAAGTCAAAATCACGGTTTCCATGGCAACTCTTAACTTGTCTGTGCCGTACACATTTCTCAAGAAATACATTCACCAGACTACCTAGTGATAAAAATTGTTCCACAGGCATATAAAGGTAGATTTGCTAATTCTTCTTCTAAAATGTGTCCCCCACCCCCCAGTTAATCTGTCTGCTCTTCTCTGTAACCCTGGGCAAGAAACTGAAGTCCAAGTCCTGAACAATTTTTTGTGTGTGTGTTTCGTAGAAATCAGTTTTCGTGTGATTAATGCTGTTTCCTCCCTCTCTCCTTTGCAGATATATGTTGGGTAAAGGAGGAAAACGGAAGTTTGATGAGCATGAAGATGGGCTGGAAGGCAAAATCGTGTCTGCCTCTGACGGTCCATCCAAGGTGTCTTACACCTTACAGCGCCAGACTATCTTCAACATTTCCCTTATGAAGCTCTATAACCACAGGCCCCTGACAGAGCCCAGCTTGCAAAAGACCGTTTTAATTAACAACATGTTGAGGCGGATCCAGGAGGAACTCAAACAGGAAGGCAGCCTGAGGCCTGCGTTCACTCCCTCCTCCCAGCCCACCGAGGAGCTGAGTGACAGCTACCAAGAGGCCCCACCTGCCTTCAGCCACCTCGGGTCCCCTCCTGCGCACCCCTGCGACCTCGGCAGCACTACACCCCTGGAGGCCTGCCTCACCCCAGCCTCACTCCTCGAGGATGACGATGACACTTTTTGCACTTCCCAGGCCGTGCAGCCCACGGCTCCCACCAAACTCTCACCTCCAGCCCTCCCGCCAGAAAAGGACAGTTTCTCCTCTGCCTTGGACGAGATTGAGGAGCTCTGTCCCACATCTACCTCCACAGAGGCCACAGCAGCAGTGACTGACAGCTCCAAAGGGACCCCCATCGAGTCCAGCATCCAGAAACCCGAGGGACCCCAAGAGAGCCGCACGGACGATTCGAAACTGATAGACTCTCTGCCTGGGAATTTCGAAATAACAACGTCCACGGGTTTCCTGACAGACTTGACCCTGGACGACATCCTGTTTGCAGACATCGATACGTCCATGTATGATTTTGACCCCTGCACGTCCTCGTCAGGGACAGCCTCAAAGATGGCCCCTGTGTCAGCCGACGACCTCCTCAAAACTCTGGCTCCTTACAGCAGCCAGCCCGTCACCCCGAGTCAGCCTTTCAAAATGGACCTCACAGAGCTGGACCACATCATGGAGGTGCTCGTCGGGTCCTAAGACCCAGGGCGGCTGTGCCCGCCCGGACCCTGGGGCGTTCCCACAACCCTGACAGTTCTCCGCACTGTGCATGCACCCTTGCTTGCCTTTTTCAGAGAAAAAAAGAAAATTTTACAAAAGGATCACACTAGTTTTTGCTTTGAGCAGAGTTGGAGTGCCTTCATACAAGTATGACCACTTTTAATATGCTTTTTTGGAGTGGTTCCTCAGAGACCTACTACCCTGGTATAGGAAAGAATAGTAGAGGACAATGTTGCTCTATGTTGAATGACAAAAATAAACAGTTCAAGTGAAGCACAAGGATTAAGTTGGAAACGCTGTAAATTGCATGTGCATATTTGTCTATTTTTTCTATAAGTTTTATTGCAAGAGGTAAAGAAGAAAAAAATATATATATATAATTTAGATAATCTCAGTACCTTTTTTGGCATTTTCGCCCTGTATAGGTTGACTTGGCAATTCAGCCTTTTTAGAGGCATTAACTACTCCTCGTAAGTGTTGCATTTACATGGCTGTTTAGAAAACTGCTGCCCAAATTTATTTTATATTTTTGTACAGATTCTGCAGTTTATGATATTGTTTTTCTAAAAACAAATGCTGTTTATACATATGAAATAGCTATTTTGATAGGATTTGCTCACATAGTTCCTGCAAACTTCAGATGTACAAGTTGCACTTGTACTTTTATAGAGTTGTAATGTTTTATATGTGTATGGTGCAAGAGAAAATTGGATCAAATCAATCTGCAGTTGATGTCCCCAAATGCAAACACACACGGGCACATACATACACACACATAACACACACAGCGCTTTAAGAAAGGGCCAGGTGATATCACACCCAAATTTCACACGCACTGACCCCCTGGCACAAACACCCGCCAGTACTGTGACTTCCAAAGCCAGAGCCACGTCTGCTCATCAAACTTGCATTAAGCAGTTGATGGAGATGGCCACAGAGCTTGGGGTTTAAGTGATGGTTCTCTTTAGCTCCCTTTTTTGAAGGGAAGGCTACCAGTCTTACTTTAGAGTGTATTTATGCCAAGTTTGCTCTTTTAATTGTTTTTATTTTTTAAGTGAAAACCTAGATCTTTCCTTTTTGGCATAATTTTTATGATGACCTAATATTTTACATCTGAATACAATTTTGTGATAAGCAACCAACCTCTTCATGGAACTAAGCCCTATTGCAATGCTTAGGGCTCTTAAAGAAGAAAATCTCCCCAGAAGGCATCCATCATGTTGCTAAATTGTCTTTTGCAGCTTCCCTTCCCTAGAGCTTTTGTTCTCTCTGTTGCTAAGAGCTAAAAATGGCATCTTTGTGATCACCACAGTGAGCTCTGCTCACCTCGGCTGGCCCGGGATGTACTCTTACAACATCTGTGACCTTGAACCTGGAGTTCCTCACCTTATGTGACGGCTGCCCATCTGGTTGCTTTCTTAAATCAACTGCTTTAACTACACTTTACAAGGCTGTTTTACCCAAAAACACAGACAGAATTTTCTATGCATGTTCCCCCCCCCCCGCCCGTCTCCCACCCCCAGAACACACTTGAGAAGTAGCTTTTTATTCCTAGTGGTGTACATTTAATTTTAAAACGTTTGCAATGTATCATGCTTGTTGCCGAAATTGTTTATGGCCTTTTCGTTTCAGTTTTTTCTTTCTTCCAATGGTACTTTAGCTGTTGAGTGCAGGTTACAACCTATATTGTTATGCAGATGGCTTCTTTAGGAATAACTTTTATATTTATTTAAAAATTTTAAATTATGGGATTTTGTTTTTTGTTGTTGTTGTTGTTGTCTTTGTTGTTGGTCATTTGTCAATATTCAGTCACCAATTCTGCTCACTTCTTGCCATGGATAAAATTGGGTCTTTCTGGCTAATTAAAAAAGACAACTTTATAAAATGGCACTTTAAACAAGCCATAGATAGTTTTATTTTTATAATGCACATGGCAAAGCAAATACGTTTGTGATGAAGGAACTGCTCATCGAAGCAAAAGATTCATATATGATATGATAAAATCTTTCTACATTCTAATGTACTTTTTTACCCCACTTGAATGTGTTTTAACGGCTAATTATCAACTCAGTAGAGCAGTGAGAAACTGATCAAATTGCACTTGTTCTCCTACAAGCAACCTCCACACAGACACTTCTGTCTGCTGCAGATGTGTCGTTTCCTTTGATAGGACCAGGGACCATATAATTAAGGTGAGGGTTGTTGTAGATGCTTCCAGTGTCACTGTGCCTGTCCATTTTAAGAGCTTCCCTTTCTTGTAGAGAACAAGTCTGCCCAAACTCCATGCTTTTTATAACTGGAGGACCCGGCGAATTGCCACATGCTGCACACGTCTACATACGTACACATATACAATGGTGTTGATTATTCCGAACAATAACCGCGTGAAGCAGTTGATCTGCCATTGTTAAAACTGATTTACAGTAACTTAGAACAACTGTACTTTCGTTGGATTAGCAAATCCTGTGTTTAAACAAATCCCATATGTTGGGCAACAGTTCAAATAAGCACAGAGAAGTGTTGCCCAAACTTGGTTCTCTGACTCTCATGTATTTGTAAGGCTGGGCTTCAAAATCAAAACAAAAACCCCCAACAACAGCAGGCAAATGCTTTTTAACTCTGACATCCTTGCTGTAAATTCCTGATTCAAAGTCTAACACGAGAAAGACACGGAAAATTAGCAGCCCATTTTCAGAAAGAGCAAAAGCGTCAAGGGTTCGCGTTGTCTTTGTGTCCTATTCTTACAAAGTGGTGTCCCGACAAGGAAGGGTAGGAGCCAGAGGAGGGAATCTCCGAGTCCCAGTTTGAGTATGGGATGTGCTTCCAGATGCCACCTGGCAGCAGTGCCTTCCCCTCCGTAAATGGTGTTGTGTGGCATCCAGAGCCAGGCGGGCAGCTTGAGGTGCCTTCATGAGAAAGACGCGCTGGGGGCTGGGGCTGGGAGAGGACAATTATTGACAGTGATGTGCAATGAAGTGACAAGATGAGAGCAGAATCATAAGAGCTTTGAATTTGAAGTGATTTTTTTTCCCATAAGTTATTTATTCCTTTTTCTGTGTAAATATATTTATTTTACTGTGGAGCTCTAACAACATCTGGATCGTAACATGTGCAGAATGTATGGTAGGAATGTATTCTCTTGTAGGAATGTAAATCTGTATTAAAAGGGGGTCCGTGCCAGGACCCCTGGGTCTTCTCATCGTATGCACAGTCCACATTCATTTTTACTCTCTTCTCTAATATGGGTCTATTTGAAATATGCAAAAGGTATGGATGAGGAATGTTTTAATACCTCCAAATTTTTGAGAAAATCAAGCATCAAAGGGTTGATATTTTTAAAAGTTTTTTTAGTAGCACTTTCTCTGGATGACAGAAGGGGCAACCCCACAGGCACCCTCGTTCATACCAAAGGGTGAGAAATGGCCTGAGCCTCCTCTGCACCTCTCCAGTGTCTTCACCAATTGAGCTTTTTGTCGCCATAGCCCCTTGGAGTGCCCTGAGGTCAATCAAGGAAAATTTATTAACTAAATAAGCTCCAAAGAGCCAAAGTATCAACTTACGGATCGTTTTAAAGCTTAAATGTATTAACCACCTATGCGGTAAACAATGAATTATGAATACCGCAGGGCAGCCTTCTTAAATGACAGATGTTAAAAAAAAAAGACTCTACTTTGTGCAGCGATTGTTATTCCACTCTATATGAATTGTCTTACTTTGAAAACCTTGCTGTTACAAATTGGACCTTTATACATTTCTGAAAATATTGAAAAGAGCATATTTAACTTGTTCTGGCTGTAAATGGTTAACTTCCTATAACTGCCCTGCACCTGGAAGCATAGAGTTGTGTGCGCCCTGCTTATGTACAATTGTTTTCAGCGTTTCTAAGAATGAGTCCGAATGGTTCTTTAAAATTAGCCCAGGATCAAATGCTGTTGCAGACAAAGCCAATAAAAACGTTGGACTTCTTTTGGGGATAACAAGTTTGGAAGAGAAGTGCAGGCCATATGTGCGAATGACCGCGATTTTGAAAAAGGTGTACATGGTGCCATGTTTGGTGCATGGTTTTTGAGGAGGGCTTTTTGTCCAAAAGGAGGTATAACCTTTCCCCCACAGACCTGAGAGCTGTGCCTTTTCTATGCAATATTACAGATGTTACATCGGAACCCAGATGGCTGTATTCACATGTAGGTTTGGGCTGTAATCGAAACAATTGGACAGATTAAATGTACATGGAAATGAGCAGTCTTACTTTTGTAGTTTTATATTATACAATAAACAGTTAAAAGATGAGAGAGGCATGCTCGCAGTTTTCTTTTGACCAGAGCACGGCACAGCAGTTTGCTCGTGTTAAGCAGCAGTCCCGCAGCAGCTACAGGGGCCTCTGCTGGAGTCCGTGCTGTCCGACTCGAACCTTCTTGCTCACAGGGACCACCTTTCTCTCCTGGTCCTCCCCCTACCTCTTGGACCCTTCTTGACCTCCTTTTTCTCACATCTGTGGCCCAGCTCTCTCTAAAACATTGTTTTTTCCAGGGTTTGGCCCGTGACCAGCTCTTCAGCAAGCCTCCACTCCTACGGCTTGCTGCCCCAAGACGATCTAACCCCTTGGGGTTCTCAAAACGGATTTCCAGCCCCTGCCTCTCTCCTGAGCTCCTGATACTCCTATCTGCCAGGATTTGCCATCTCACACATGGCGTGTCTCACACCGTCTTGTTTCCCCTGGGGGCTGGATCCAGCAGGCTCGTGGGCCTCAGCTGTCCTTTCCCATACCTGGCTCAGCTGCCCACACGCACGATCTGGGCTCCAGCCCCAGCTGCTTTGCTCCCTCTGCCACCTCCTCTCCATCCTCACCACAACTTCCCCAACTCAGGCCTTCCCTCTTGCCACCAGCTGTTGTACCGGCTTCCTAACAAGTCTTTTTGCCACAATTGTCTCCAACATCCCCATTTCTAGAGTTGACATGCTAAAATGCCAGTGGTTCCTGTGATTGTCGCACATCCTCCATAAGTGCTCCCTGACTGTTGATCTGGGGTCTCCCCCAACTGTCTTCCAGGGGCTGGCGTGGGAGATCCTGCACAGCCCCCTTAGCTGCTGGACCAACTTTGATGGGGTCCTCGGATCCAGCCTCGCCTGCCCTGCTGAGGGGAGGGGCTGGACATGAGAGTCCTGGAGAATGAGGATTCTGTTGAATCAGCAGTGGGATGCGGGGGGCCAGCGTTGGGGAGGTGTTAGGAGTTTTATTGTGGCCCCCCAAAAAGGTGCCGGTGCTGCAGAATGTGACCTTAATTTGTAAATACAATCTTTACAGAGAAAATCAAGTTAAAATGAGGTTATTAAGTTAAAATGAGCCCTAATTCAATATGACTAAAGACCTTATGAAAAAATGTTGACACAGGATGCCATGTGAAATCTAAGGCAGAGATTGGTGTGATCTGCAAACCAAGGAACCCCAAAGACTGCCAGAAAACCGCTGGAAGCAAGGGGAGAGGCACGAAGCAGATTATTCTTACAGCCCTCAAAGGAACCAACCCCACCAACACCTCAGTCTGGGCCTTCTAGCCTCTAGTGAAATAAATGTCCAGGCCACCCAGTTTGGGGAACTTGGTTACAGCAGCCCTGGCAAACTGAAATGGAGGCTTCCCAGACAGCCTAGCGATGATACTCAGGCAACTAGAGATGAGGGCTTGGTGCTCAGTAGAGTGGTTCGTATCATGAATGATGAACATCTGCTGTTAATTAATGATAGAACTTTGGCGAATCATTGAATCTCTATTTCTGAAGATGAGATAAAGTCGTAGCTCCTAAAGCTCTTTGAAAATGTTGACAGTATAATAACCATGCAAGTATCAGTATGAGGTCTATCCTCTCATGCCTAGAACTGTGCCTGGCACATAGTAGGCACTTGTAGATGTTTGTCAAACTAAAAGGAGAAAAAAAAATCCTGTAGTTAACCCTTCTGTACAGAATGGGAGAAGCACAGCACTCCACCTGTCCCTTGCCTGGGCCCAAGGTTCATTCCATCCTCACCACCCTGCACGGGCCCCATTCCCTGCACACACCAGCGCCCTGCCTCTAGGTGCTCTTGGGTGTGCCTTGCGCCTTCTGCGTGTAGAAATTCTACCATCGTTTCAAGGCCAAGCTCAAATGCCTGTCAATGAAGCCTTCTCTGCATCCTCCCTGTCAAAACCAACCTCTTCTGGGCTCCTGCAGGGCTCTGTGCCTCGGCAAACGCACTTAGCAAGTGCTGCTGGGTCTTCAGGTCAGCCTCGCACCGTGTTTCCTCCGTAGCCTTTACTGTCCTTAAGAACAGCAGTCTGTGTTGTTTATCTTCGCCAGAGGTTGGCAAGCTGCGACCCACAGGCCAAATCCTGCCCACTGCCTGTTTTTGTAAGCAAAGTATTTATGAGACCCGGCTGTGCTCCTGTACCTGCGAGTCACCTATAGCCGCTGTCGTGCTACTGTGGCACAGACTATGTGGTCCTCAAAGGCTGAAATATTTGCTCTTTGGCCCTGTATGGAAGCAGTTTGCCAAAGCCTGATCTTCACAAGCCTCATAATACTTAGGACAGTGCCTGACCATAGAAGGGACAGGCTCAGGGCTTCCATGGTCTGTGGACACACTCCCCTGGGAAGACGACTGCAGTACAGGAGCCAGGAGAGTCCTGAGGGCCAGAGGGGCCAGAGCACTCAGGAAAGTCACACGAGAACGGACATCTCTAGTGGGCAAGGCTAAAATCCAGGTCTCCACTCTTAGTGTGCTGCTTTGGGTTAAGCGTTAAGGCAAAGCTGGAGCATCTTAATGCTGAAAGCACGTTTGTGGGGAGGCAACCATGACCTCCTAATACCATGCACATCCTATGGTCTGCTATTTATTTACAGAGAACACTGCGGTCCGTGCTTACACGCCAGTCCAGGGTCCCGGACTCTCTATTTCCTCTTCCATCTTTGCTTTTAATGCCCTTTTTTTTGTTCCTCTTGGAAAGGAATCTTTGACTAAATCAGGACTAACAGTCCTCAGGATTACCGCTCACTGAGCCCTCACATGTCTAGCCCAGACCCAACTATATACTGGTGTACGTGATCTCAAAAACTCTTCTCTCTCTCTCTCTCTCTTTTTATTTTTATCACCCCCACTTTACAGAGGTGAGAGGCCAGGCTCAGAGAAAGCAGGCAACTTTCTAAAGGTCACACAGCTGGTAAGTGGCAGAGCTGGGATTGCAGCCTGGGTCTTTTAGACTCCTGTAACACTTAGCACACTCCTTGCCTTCAGCCTGGAGACTGAGCAAGGCGAGGGAGTCAGGACACCGTGTTCTAATCTGAGCTTTACCTCTGTGCCTTGCCTGACCTTGGCTAAGTGGCTTCACCCCTCTTCACAGGGCACTGCCCTGAGGAGCAGGAGCAAGAAGATGTCCTGGCAGGGTCAGCAGTGAGCCGAGAGGTGAGCTAGCTCTACAGGGCTGAATGCCCCTACCTTCTCTTGTCATGGCTCTGTGTGACCTTGGGCCAGTCACTTCCCTTCTCTGGGAGTCAGTAGCAAAAGAAGGATACAGGATACATATGCCTGCCACGCTCCGAGCTGGGGCTTTCCCTGGCAGCACAGTACAATCACGGAGGATCCCGCCCACATCTCTGGGCTTGCGGTCCTGGCCTTGAGGATTTTTACAAAAGCTCTGGGTGGGAGGAGAGCCACTACTCTAAGGATGCCCGCCTTCGAGGCTTTTGGGATGGTGTGGCCGTGTGCATGACCGAGGAGGCACACATGCTGGCTTTGTCCCTGGAGCTGGGAGGCCCCTCCACAGCAGGCTGGTGGCCTCAGCCCCACAGCCACCAGGCAGCCTCCCCTCCCTCCTCCCTCTCCTCCCAGGCAGGGCAGCCTGAGCTGCCAGCTGCTAGCAAGGCCTATTGTTCAGCAGTGACAAGAAATGGCTGCGGAGCACGGGCTGGGAGAAGGCTGGAGGCAGAGGGGGAGGGGTAGGGCGAGCTGGGAAATGTCTCCCAACACCAGCCTCCCTGGGGGGGGGGGGGTTGGCCTGCCTGCCAGAGAGAAGTCTGAGAGTCTGTCCCCTCCCTGCTTAGGGTCTAACAGACTTCCTCCCGCCACCCCCAGTTGTGTTCTCAGGACGTGGCTATGGGTGGAAGTGTGTGGCACTGTTTGTGTGTCCGTGCAGGGAGTCAGGCCGCCTGTACAAAGATTTATGGTCACTCGTCTCCCAGCTGAGTGCCTGAGCATGGTGCCAGGTGGCGAGTGCGTCTGCAATTGTGTTCCAAGTCAGTCCGATGCAGACTCGAGCGGAACACCACCTCCTTGGGCCAGGAGAGGCGGCAGCGGTGCTGCCCGTGATGATCCCTGAGCTTTGTGTCTAGCTCAGTGGCACAAGATGCACTTCACACACACGGTCGCTGTATTTGATTCTGGTGATGATGCTGGAGGGGGTTCCGGGTAGGGGGCCCTTCTCGGGCCTGAGGAAACTGAGGGGCAGGGAGGGGCACAATGCGACTCAGTGCAACCCCGAACTCTGGACCCTCCCTTTGTTACCCTGGGGGGAGTGGAGGAGGCTTCAGGAAACTGGCCAGAAATCTATTTAAGAAGAAAAAAAGCTCCCAGCGAGCCAAGGAGCCCGAAGTCACATATTCTCTTGACGCTTTGTAACATGGGCTTGGTGGGAACAGAAGCTATTCAGAGCTTTGGTGCTATCCTGTCTGTCCCTGAGACCCTCCCTCCCTGGGCCCAAACGCACACGCTCAAAGGCAGTTGACAGGGGCAGGAGTGGCTCACCTGGGGACACCATCTTCCCCATGGCGCTGCCTAAACATTCCGCCTCGCAGACGGAGACACTTGCTGTGTTGCCTTTGAAAGCTCCCTGGCCCCCGTCCCGCCAGACTGCTGCCCCTGAGCCAGTGCAGAAATCCTATAGCCACCAAGCTGCCCCTTCTCCCCCGTCTCTGACTCTGTCTCTGTCCTTTTCTCCCTTCCCCTACTTTGTGGTCTCTCAGTCAGTCTTTCTGTATCTCTCTCTGCACGCTTTGCGTCCCTGAGCAGCTGGATGTCACAGGTCCCTGCCCTCCCGAGGCCTTGGTTCTCCTGGGCAGTCTCATGTGCTTGGCTCCAGCACCTGGACTTTGAGGCAGACCTGGTGGGGTTGGGCAGCTCTGGGCTCAGGCTCATGGAGGTCTGGGGACCTCCAAGTCACTTCCTGGGGGGCCCACCCACTGGTCCAGGGCCTCAGTGCTGCGTCTTGAGGACCCAGCGTCCCCATCTGGTCTGTCCAGCCTCCCTCGGGCTCAGTTGGGAT